GGCCGCCCGCCCGGCCCGCCTCACCTGCAGGTCGCGGTTGTGGTTCTCGCACAGGAGCTGCAGGAAGCGCAGGATGGGCTGCATGATGCTGATCACCGGGCTCATCTCCAGCTCGTCCTTGGCCTTGTCCGCCGCGGCCGGCGTGCCCTCCCCAGGCGGGTAGTGGTCGTCGGGGTCGGCCTCCCTCCGGAAGGTGGTGAAGGCCTTCCTGGTGGCGGCCGAGGCCTCCAGGAGCTGGTCGCGCGCCTCCTCCGTTATCTGCGTCGGGGGCTCTTTGGCTGGAACGGGAGTGAGACCCTCGGTGCTGCGACTCCCCGGGAGGGCCCCGCGCCGGAAGCGCAGCCCTCGCGTCCCCAGGACCTCCCGGCCGGCGGGCGCTCCGAGGAGCCCCCCTCCCCCAGTCCTTAGGTGGGCGAGACCGAGCCGCCCGCCAGCCTGCTCGGGGCGACGACTCATCTGCGCCGGCTGCGGGTGAGGTGAAAGCCTTAGTACAGGCTCTGTCAAGCCCACAGACCTACGGCTCTGGGCCTCAGCTTCCCCATCTGTAAAACGGGGAGGGCACTGGCGGACCTCACCCGGAGGAGGTTCCTGAGAAGGTCAAACGGGATGCTAATCGCTGCAGTGACCACCGCTGTGACAACTGACCGAGCCGTCTGCTCTGCGACAGAGCACGAGGCGTGTCACCCTCCCGGTCCTCAGAGGACCCTGCGAGGCGACAGGCCTTCCAGGCAGGAGCGGAGCCGCTGCAGCCAGGCTGCCCGGGTTCAAATCCTGGCCCTGCTGCCTGCCAGCTGCATGCCTCTCACAGGAACAAGTTCATTACCATCTCGGTGCCTCTGTCCCCTCGTCTGTAACATGGGGACAACTGTATCTGCCTCACAGGGCTGGCCGGAGTTCTGAATGAAGTGGCCCGTGTAAAGGGCTTGGAGCGGTGCCCGGCCCCCGGGGTGCGTAGTGAACGGGTCCCCTTCCTCCCTGTCCCAGAGGGCGCCAACCTCGGTGATTCTGCACTCGTCCCACCCAGGGGACAGTCTGCGATATCTGGAGGCACTGGGCGTGAGGGTGGGCACCGGCATCTGCTGCGTGGAAGCCACGCCTGCTGCTAAGTACCCTACAACGCAGGGCTTGGCCCCAACGGCACCACGTTCTCCAGATGTCGGATGTGCTGTGGCTGAGAAACCCAGCTGTCACCTTAAAAAGCAACGCTCTGGGTGGTTCGCGAACCTGCTGCAGGCCCCTGACTCAACACCCTGGGTCTACCCACTCTCAAGTACGGCTTCTCCCCAACGAGGCGACGGACCAAGAGCTTCACAAACACGCAAGCAGTTTAGAAAATGAGGGAGAGCCAGCCCGCGGAAGATGGGCACCCACGGAAGACGGGCACCCCCATTCTGAAGCATGTACCATCCTCAACGTCCTCTAACATTAAATGGAAAATCACAGAAAAGGGTTATTAATGGATGTCCTGCCAATAAAACCTGGAGTTTGACCAGGAGGAAAGGGGGTTAGTTTATTAAACAAGAACCTCCAAAGCAGCAGGAATCCCGCTTGGGTTCTGCAGGAAGAAGCGGATCATTCGTGGGTTCACCTCCTACTTGTAAGAGCCCAGTGTGCACACAGCGTGGAGCCCGGAAGTGACGGGAGCGCTGACGGGAGCAAGGGCGCCCCCCGGCTGCGCAGACCGGCTGACGGGAAGGCTGCCCGGGGCACCTACCTTTTTTCCGGGACGGGGCGTCCCTGTCCAGCTCGTCGTCTCTCTTTTTGTTCCCCAGGTCACTGGTGTTCACTGTCACAGTTGCCTTGATCTCCTGCTGGGCCACCTTCATTCGGTCGTAGAAAACCTTGAAGAACCGCTCCGACTTCTTATCTTCCGTCAGCCGGCAGAAGAAGGAATGCTGCCGAGGGAAACCCACAGGCTCTCAGCACCGGGCCGGGCCGGTGAGCGAGTCCCACTCGTGACACCAAAACCTCTCGGGATCCGAGCCAGCCCCGTGAGCTCACAGGCGGCCCGAGTTGGACCAGGGCTGAACGCTGCTCTGTGCTCCAAACGTCTCGGGATCCTGCGGCGTGAGGTTGTCCGCAGAGCCTTTAAAGCTACCGGCTGTGGGATGTCCTCGCTGGGGCAGTCACACAGGCTTGGGAAGCACAAGGGGTGGTGGCCGGATTTTAGCCAACCAAGAACAGCCCCCTACACACCACACACACACGAAACGATGCCACTAGCAGTGGCGACCAAATGTATTTTTGGTGATTATTGCAGGGCCAGTCCCTTGTTTAAAGGCTTCTATAACCAGCCCCTCCTCTTTGCACAGCCCTGTGACCATATGCAGATGAGTAAGAGGGGCTACCTGTCCCCGTGGGCTCCCTCGTACCAGGTGAGCACGACATGTCCACAGTAAGACTAAAAGGTGTAAGTAAAAACGCCCCAGGAGCTACACAGACAATTCTAGGAGTTCAGTGCTGGCAAGGATGGTGCTGGGCTGGCGTGAGCCCAAAATCCTCACGGAAGAGGTGATTTTCCAGTCAGGCCTTGAAGGACAGGTGAGTGTGTTTAGGCAAAGACGCTCGGGCCTCAACAGGTAGTTCGTCTCTGGGATACACGTTTGTTTTTGGACCCGCTGCGAGCAACGGCAGAGCTGTTGATATAAAAACGCAATATGGCGCCTCAACTCCATTTACGACCGTTTGTTTTTCACCCCTTTGCAGACACCGCACTGTTGTGAGTTATTTACATAAAAATACAACACGGCCATTTCCAGGAGAACAAGGCAAAGCTCCAAACAAGACACTGGCTTCTCCTGGTTGGATCTCTCTGCCGATTTCGTGTCCTTCCCGTGCGGAAGGAAGGCCCTTCCCCGCAGAAGGCAGCCCTCGGCTTGCAATCCCAGGAGACACTGAGATCCCACCGGCTTCCGGAAGCCCCCTAACTCTCCCAGGTCCTCCCCCGCCCCCGGGGCAGGACTCCGCAGCCACCACGGTTCCATCGGCCACTGTACAGCTCCGCCCTCCGCCCTCCTGGCCACCAGCCCGCGCGCTCCGCTGGCAAACACCTGTGCCACCCGCCCACAGAGCACCTCCCGGTCTCCGCTCCCTCTCCGTCCCTCCGCACTTCCGGCTGTTTCCAACACAACACGGGATCCGCCCCTCCCTGGGCTCCCTGATTCTGTCTCTTCCCCTCCAACGGCTCCCACACGCCAGTGGGCAAGTCCTGCGCTAGGGCGGCCAGAGAAAACAAACTGGACCGGTACAAACATTCGTCCAATCAGATCAAACTGTGCACTTAAAATCTAGGGATAGTATTGTATGCAGATGATATCGCGATGAAACGGGAGAGACGAAAAAGCTCTGCTTCGTGCCCGGAGAGCTGGAGCGCTGCAGCCCAGGCCCCCTGAGCCCGCCGGCCGGCACCCGTCCTGGCTGCCGGAGCGGAGGGGCTGTGTCCAGGGTGCAGCCCAGCAGGAGCGGGGATCTTGGGGGGGAGCAGGCTGGGGCGCCACCAGGACAACTTTGAGACTTTGGTCACCCTCCCCAAGGGAAGCATCCCCACCCTGGGCTGGGGAAACTGTGGTGACCCTCACAGGCGGGTGGAACAAGTGTGGCGTGACTGCCCCAGGTCCGATGCACGAATTGAAGATCTAGACAAAGGGCAGAAGCACCTGCTGCCGTCTGTCGGCGAGGTTTCACCGTACGGACACCCTCGGGGGCTTCACGGACCCTCAAGAAGCCAAACACACTCAGGAGGGAGAGTCCTGGGGTTCTTTTTCTAGGGATGTAATACATACGTGCAAATAAAATGCCTTAGTGGAAAAACCAAACCAAACCAAACAAACCGAGCTGTGGCCAATCCACTCAACCATAAAATCCAAAGAAAAATAAATACGCCCTGGCCGGCAGGGGGCAAGGACACCGCTAACAAACAGCTAACAGTCCAGCCCAGCGACGGGTGGAGGCCCCAGCCACCCTCAGGCCTCTGCTCAGCCCGACCGACTGTCCAGTCACAGCCCGTCCGATGAAAGTGTAAACCCAGACATGAGAGACGGGTGGAAACCTCGAGAGCCCCGGACACGCCCACGCGGGAACACGGAGGGCCGTGGGAAAGGTGGGCGTGGGTGTCTCTCTGAAGAGGCGGCTCGTGGCTGAAGCGTCCACACGGCTGTGCCCACCGATCAGGGTCTCGGAGGCGGGGCTCGAGCTGGTGTGCGGGTGCCCTCGGCGCCCCCAGGGCACCGCGCGAGCTGGCAGTTTCTAGTGAGAACAGTGTTTCCACCTTGAGGCCGACTCCCTGGAAACACTCCAGAGGGAAAGTCCCTCCGGTTACTCAGAGGAAAAGAAATTACGGCCTCGTCTGGAATCCGGGGATATCTCATGCAGACGCCTAACCGTTACTAAGGGGAAGTCAGTGAGCCCTCGACGGTCCGAACAGGCTCCTGCTAAGAATTGCACAATTCTGGGCAAGGCAGGGTGGGTTCTGGGATTTTTGTTCTTTTTTTAAAGCCTGTCCTCACACGAATGACTTTTACTTTTCTAAGAACATGTCACTGTCGCCTCCCAGCTCACGTCTTTAAAAACCTATGCTCGAGGGCTGGGCCCAGCAGCCCAGCCAGGGCGCAGGTGGCCCTCCCAGGGCGCCACGGGCGATTCTCAGAACAGCAGTTCCGGTTCCCTACTGGGAACTGGACGGAGCAGCCACGTCCTTAAAAAAAACAGTCCAGGCTGAGTAATTTCCACGTACAGCCTTCAGGTGACAGGCGCTGCCCAAGCTCCGGGAACTCCGGCTGTGGGACACACACCTTCTCTAGCCGGCGTGGGGCCCCAGTGCAGCAGGGGCTGGACAGGCCCCCCGCCCCGGCACAGGCACCAAGGGGGATGCAGGGGGACACAGCAGCGCTTTTTTGGGGCGCAGCCCCTGTCGGCCCCACCGGCTGTGGGATCCACCGGGTGTGGGGCAATGCAACAGTGAGGAGTCAGCGTTTCCCAGGTGAGATTAAGGACTTCTAGGAAGGTCCCCGTGACGGAGGGGCTGGAAGGGGAGGCTGGGGAGATGCACCTCCACCCACAGCCTTCCGGCGTGTGGGAGCCACACGGGGGGCTGTCTGCGGGGAAGGAAGGAGTCCAGCTTCCGGTGACAGGTCCGAGGATCATGAGTAGGTGAGAGAAACAAGGACAGCCACAGATTCAAAAAGGAAGGAGAGGAGCCGAGAGAGGGGGAGGGAAGGAGTCAGGGAAGGGGGAGCGAGATCTCGGGAAGGCACCATGGCAACCAGCCCGTCCACCTACCCCGGCCGCCCACCCACAGCCAGATCCCTTGCTGACGTGTTTGAGAACAGGCTGGTTCCTACCAGCTCAGGAAGGTGAGCAACGCCAGCGAGCTCATTAAATCCCTCCTCGGCGACTCCTGTCTGCCTGCAGACACCGAGCACGGGGGATATAAATAGAAGTTATGTAACAGCTCTTTGTTGATTCCTGTGCTTACCCCCAAAAATGCCGCATGACCTTGTTTTTCTCTGCGGCGTTTTCCCCGGCTGGCTGGCAGTGGACTCTAATCTTTTGGGGATCATCTTTAAACAGCAGGCTAGGTTTCCGAGCGAAGGGCACCCAGTATTTGGGGTGATGGCCCAAGTTGGGAACCCTCAGGGTCAAGTCCTCAGGTGTAAAAAGCACCTCCTCTCTCGCTGTCAAACAGAAGCTCAGGGAATCCTGTGGCTTGTTTGGAACATTCCCCGATGGTGCCAGGATTAATATTAACCCCCAAGAGCAAGAACCATTCATAAAGTGGCTTCTTGGGTTTTCTAAGGGAAGTCCGAGCTCTTAAAGCATATGTGCAAAGCTAACGGACGGTTTCCAAACACCTCCCGGCCTCACTGGTTCTTTTTCCTATTTTAACAAGTGAGAGCCCAGTGGGTTGCCGAGGCCTCCTTGGAGGCAGGACGGCCCCCGGATGCCGTGCAGAGGGAAAGGCAGACACGGCCCGGCTCGACCCCGACCCCAGGGGCCTCTGCACAGACCCTCGTGGGGGCATCTTCCCCGGAAGGTTCGGCGGAGAGCGAGCTTATGGGCTCTGCTGCTGCACCCGGGCCCCTGTTATCTTGTCTGACACACTGATGCCACAACAGTCTCTGAGAAACTGTTGCCATGGGAACTGTCCCTCTCCCGCATCCCTCCAGAAATGTTACAGGTGCCGGAGAACCCGATGCCCTTGGTCTCAGTAAGGTCCTTTTTTAATTTTTTCATTTCAGAATGTGTGGCTTCGACTGGGAGGACTTTCAAGCCCATGATGTAAGGGTTTTGAGCGCAAACGTCTTCAAGGGATGGGGTTCGTCCCACAGGCCCCGAGGGCCGTGCTGGGCTGGCCCGAGAGGACCTGCAGCCCCACCCAGCATTCCCGGCTACCGCAGTGGTTTCAGTGCATCACAGGGGTGACACCACAGCCCCTGCTCGGAGGGGATCCCGGCGAGAGACGCTGAGACTGTCATCCCCACTGTGGGACCTCCTTTCTCACCAGGTGGACCGTCAACAACACAGGGATGCGTAGATCCAGGCAGGACCCCAGTCCCCACGGAGCCCCGTCTCAGGTGAGTCGGGCGCCTCTCGCATCAGCATCTCCCAGCTGAGGCCCAGGAGCTGTGCCGTCTGCCTCTCCAGCAGGACCGTGGGGACCCGGCGGAGCCATTGCATCACCGTGACCCCTGGCTGCCATGCTGCCAGGTAACGAGCGTGGAAATCTACCCCGAAAGCTGTCTGTGACAGTGTACAACCTCCGCTCCACAGCTGACAACCGAGGGGGTGTTAAAACACCATGTTCTCAACGCCCGGGCTTCGGGTGTGAAAATAAAATTAAACGGGATACTTCCTCTTGTAAATACAAGGCAGGCGCACAACTCACACGCGCACCGCT